CAATTTTTCTATTTTCATATTATCTCATACTTTTATTTCTTTGTAAGATTTATTTACTAATGTTTTCTACCATCTTGGATAATTTGGAATAGATGCTCAAAGAAGCTTCACTACAAGAGAAATAAAGAAAAGGAGAAACTGGAAAGGATGGAGCAAGAAATGTCCAAAAGAAAGAGGTGCTACTCAAAATTGTAAGGTGCAATTTTGTGATTGTCAAGTTTTACAGAAGCTGACTTTATATTTACTTCCAGGCCAAGTGATGACAGTTCAGATAGTGAAGATGCGGGCAGCAGAACAAGGAGGAGAAAAGGTCTGATGAAGTGCCTTTTTACACCATTACGCATGAGAGTTTTTTTTTTTACTATGTCATTAATGGTCATAAAGTGAAAGTTATATTATAGTTGCTACACAGTAACTTTTATGCTTATATTATTTGCTTTTGCGTCTTCGGTTAAGTTAAAGTGGTTGCATTTGAAGAACTTAAAAAATATCGTGCCCCTTAGAGCGTTTGTTAAACTATAGAGGGAGACCATTTACTAGGCTTGGTACCATACTGTCAGATTCATTTGATAGTGTGAAAAGTTGGGTCTGTAATTGAAATCAGAGAACCACTTCGATAATTTGTAGTATAAGGAAATATAGAAAGATACCTCAAGTAGTTAAGAGGACTCTGAAACCTCTCTTACCGACATACTCGAGCGTCCTTAGCTAATGACTTGCACTGTCAATAATTTCATTTCTTTCCTCTCAAAATAGACTAGAAACTATTGGCTAGATTGGGCAGAGGATCTTGTGGCTGAATATCAATAAAGCTCTTATTTAGAATGAACAGAAATGATAGAATTTTTCAGTACGAAGAAAGAAGCCTAGAAGCATTGTTAGACATTTCCATCTTTATAGCTTTATATAGTGTGAAGAATTTCCACCTTTTTACAACTATAGTTTAAACATTCATCCTTTTGTAACATTTCATATTATCGATGAAATTGCTTCCTATCCGAAATAAATGAATAAACCTAAGAATTTTTTGAATACCCTTTTGCCTTCTCTATGCAGGAAAGAAGGCATCAACATCATCAAGGGATCCTAAAGCTGATGATAAAGAGGACTTCGATGAATATCTGGAAGGAATGTTTCCATAATGTTGATGCCATTTTTCAAAATGTGGATGAATACGGACCTCAAGGCTACACTTCCGGTCTCCACGACTATTACTCTCAGTATCCACTTCCTTGAAACCTTTTTGAAGACGACAAATGCCTGTGGCTGTACGTATGCACTTCTTTTCTGGCAATTTATATCTTAACTTGAAACATCATGTGTGTGTGTGTGTGTTCTAATAATGGTTTAATTTTAGTCTTGTCATGGTCTATATAACTTGTTCTGTTAATGAGCTGTGAGGCATGTATTTTTGCCCAAAGCCACTAGTAGAAAGGCTCATACTTTCCCTTGGGAATGAAATGGGCAAAACTGAAAAACCAACCCCACTCGACTCAAACGATAAAATGAACATTTGTTGATCGATTTAGTCTCCCATCTATTCAATGTTCATTCTCTGCCCCCCTTTTGACCATCGTCTCCCTCACTATCACCAACAACCCTTTTCGTTTCGATTGGATTGACCTTTGTTAGCTTCCTCGGATGAACTTCATGACTGATTGAGATTGCTTACTCCTAAGAGGACTTTTGATGAGGATATGTCCAATTGTCTGGTTAGTGAGTGGTGGGTGGATGTTAGAACTTCACATCCAGTTAGCCATTTTTAATTGATAAGGGTATATTTTGTCTGCATTTTCGTTTTTTAATGAAGATTTATAGGATGTTATTTTGAACTTTTTAAATTATTTTTAATATGAATAGTTTAACCATAAATAAATGCTATTTAGGGGTCTGACTTTTGTAATTTTAACTTAAATTTGGTTCTCTGAATTCATATAATAAATATTACTTAAAAAAACAGAGAAATTTAAATTTCAAATAGAATCAGTCAAGTTTAAGATTGATAAAGACAATTTAGAAAACCAAAATATGTCATAGTTTCAGAATGGCTATAAGGGAGTTTTAAAGGGTTCTTGTTAATATGGCTATAGGGGTTTTAAAGGGTTCTTGTTAATAGAAATGTCAAATTTTCATCATTATAAAAATATTTGTTGAAATGTCGTAAAAAGTCACCCTTTTGAAATCAAGTTAAATTTATAAATATATATATATATAACTTAACAAATAAGTACGTATATTTTTTTAAAATAAGTTTAAATTTCTTGAGTTATTTATTTTTGTAAGGAAATATTAATAAGGTCCACATATTGATAGCTCATTTTAGTTTTTATTTTATTTTATTTTTCTATGATATAATATACATGTTGATTAAATCTGATATTTGAAAATATAAGTCAATAAAAATTTAAATGGTTATAATATGTTTAATATATCAAATGGGTGCTTTTTTTTTTCAAAGTTCCAATTTGTCTGTAAATTTTTTTTTTTAATCTTTCAACTTAATTGGTCACATTTTATTCATGAAATGGGTTGGATTGATATTAGTCTGGATATAGCAAAATAATTTTATTAGATCTAATAAGTACGTTGTGTTAGAATTGAAAATTTTCATGGCACAAATCTTTAGTACTCTCTTATTTATTACTTGTGTCTACTATTTACGTAGAATACCGTTACTCATTCTTACTAATAAACTGAAAGAAATAGAGGGGACTAAACAGGAACAAGAGGGATCCACCAAAGAAGATTAGAAAAAAGAAAAGAGGTTAAAAATTGATTTTTTAAAAAATAAAGTGATTTTTTAAAAAATAAAGTTGTGGATTATTTAGGTCTTAAAAATATTGAATAAATTTCAACTGATTTTTTATTTTTTTTTATTTTTAAAATGTTTCATTTCAAATCCACGTTCAGGAGTCCAGCATATGCACAAACGCCACGTTCACCTCATCCACTAAGTTCATGAAACGTGGCGTTATCTCAGGCACTAATCGTTCTTACGTGGCGCTCATGCATTCGGTGGCACGAAATTTGCGTGCTGCATGTCATAATAGCACAAACGACTTGTTACGATCATTTAACGGTTCAGTACGGCACTGTTATCACGGCGTTATAAAATGGAGTTCTAGTGTAATTGTCAGAGGTGAATCTCTGACCTCTCTAATTGTGAAACGTAACGGCCTTCAATTGAATCGTACAGCTGTCAAATTCTCACATTTTCCAATAATTATTATCTGCATTTTAAAAAAATATATTATTATTATTATTATTATTATTTTATTTTTTTTATCTCTTGGGAATGTCCAAAAGCTTGGGGTCCAAACTTCCTTCTTGATTTCCTTTTTTGTATGCATTGAATTATAGTTTTTTAATATGAACGAAATTACAAAATTGCCCTTGTCGTGCATTATCCATTTAATTTTTAGATTTAAAATTCTCCCTCACCAATTCTTTTTTTCTACCTTATTTATTATTATTATTATTATTAAACGTCCAATACACAAATAATGATTGATGTTGAAAGCTCGGGTGGACAACATCAGCTGCTTCGCGTATTATGAAAGTCGTATTGCCCGAAGGAAGGGGGCATGCTGCAAGAGCAGAGGTGAGTGGTAAGCGTAGGAGGCGTGCCCAAAGGGCAGCGGCAGGGACTTCGACTGCTTTGTATCAAGTGAAGATAAGGGAAGGGGTGGTAGGCTTAATAGGGCTCAAATCTACAATATACCCGTTATGAGCGGTACGTTTCAACCAATTAAAAGTCCAATAATTAATTATTTCTCATTTCATCTACTAACAATTCTGTTTATTATCTTTATTTTAAATAAAAAATGTCAAACATGATATATATATATAAAATAAAAATTTAACCAAATTACGAACTTTGAATATCATATCTATTATTATTTAACTAATCTAATTAAAAAATAGAAATAAAAATAAAAATTCAATTGGACCAAGTGTATTATTATACCTAATTATAATATAAAAAATGGGATTAAATAAATCATAATAAAAGGAATTAATAAAAAAAAAATCATTTGAGTGGATGAAGAGGGAAAAAAAAAAGGCCCAATAATTATTTATTTTTAAAAAATTAAAAAATTAATTTTGTGCGCGTGTCTAAAATAAGAAGGTTAAAAGGGTCAACTCACGCCGCCTCTTTATCCCTTTCTTCCTTAAAAGGAGACAATTGGATAACAAGTTGTGTCCTTTGCGTGTATCAATCATTAAATTTTCACCCTATATAATATTAATTCATCTCTATATTATTATAAAATAATTAAAATTAAAATTAATTGTTTATTTATTTACACAATTTTTACTTATTTCGAAGAATTTTCTTTTACGTACTTACAAAATAAACACGAAAAATTTATAATAATTTTTGAAATAGTTATAAATATTAAACCGTTAGATGAAAGTCTCACGTCGGCTAATAATGATTATGAATTTATAATCAAAGAATACTATCTTCATTGGTATGAGGTATTTCGGGGAACCTCAAAGTAAAGTCATGAGAGCTTATACTCAGACAATATTATATTATTGTGGAGAGCCATGAGAACTATTTTTTTCAAAATTTCAAGATAATCAGTCATAATTATATTAAGTTTTTAAAAATAAAACTATAAAATATATCAAAATTACATTTTTAACCTTTTAATTTGGCTCAAAATTACGGGAAAAATATTTGGATAATATAAAGCATAAAAGTTGAAAATGAAAATGAAAAAGAAAAAAAATTAGATAAAAATTATTTTAATATTTAATATATATTATTTAATAATATAAAGCTGCGATATTAGACGGCTGTTAGTTGTTGGAATTTAGGGAGGCAAAGTAATAAATTAAGCGGATAAACTACCATAAATATATAAATTTATTTATTTATTTATGTGTTTTTAAATTAATAGTTTAATAATTTAATAATTTAGTTTTTAATTTTTAATTTTTAATTTTGATCCTCTCCGTTTTAATTTCCTTCTCTCTGTTACCTCCCACTGCCACTGCGCGCAGAGAGGGGAGAGATAGAGGGGGAGAGAGAGAGAGTAATGGAGCTGAGCTAGGAAATCAGAGCGACTTGCGAAGCTAAAGCTTTCCTAGGGTTCGATCGTCTGTTTCACATCACAGTTGTAAGTTATTTTTCCTGCAATTTGCTTTCACTTCTCACTGATTTCGCTCCTTACAATCGGAATTTTGATCGGAGTTTGGTTTCCTTAAGGCTCCATTTCTCTCGAGAAATTTGTGCTTGGTTTTCATCTACAAGCGACGGAATCATGATATTTACGGAAAACACTAGGAATTTTGAGTTTATGAATGAGTAGAACAGAGAAATACTGTTTGTTTGTTAGTTTTTTTTTTTTCCCTAATTTTTCTCTTAACTTTTAGTTTATTTGCTGCATGATTTTCGGCAACCAGAGAAATATATCTATAGAGCCTCTGTTTTGGATCTATGGAAATTGCAGAGGCTGAAGTTTGTATAGTCTGTTTTGGATGTATATCTCTTGATATCTTGAAGCCCTGTAATGTATTGTAGATGAGTTATATGAATCTCTGATGAGTTTCTGTCCACATTGAATGATCATCCGGCATTCAGGAGCTCTTTCAATGATTTTGAGATGCCAGGAATTTCGGGTTGCTTTGCTTAGGGTTATAGAACTAGGCAAGTGTGAAATCACACATCGGTTGGGGAAGAGAACGAAACATTCTTTTTAAGGGCATGTAAACCTCTCCGTAGTAGATGCATTTTTAAAACGTTGAAGGAAGCCCAAAAGAAAAATCCAAAGAAGACAATATTTGCTAGCGGTGGGCTTGGGCCGTTACAGTAAGATCGTGTCCTCCCTATTGTTTAACAATAATTTAAACCCACTTTGGAGAAGGCTCGGACTTTTTTTAGAGCAGCCCCAAACCATGGAATCGGTGTGGTATAAGTAGAAGTGATTTATATTGTTTTTGTTTCTAATGTTCTTCCTTTTGGGGTGGCAGAACAAGTTTCAAACAATGCCCTCAAAACCAGGAATTGTAGAACAAGAAGTTGCTGATGGGGCGAAGTATTTGCTGCAATCAACCAAATACTCTGAGCCTTGGTGGCATGGCGTTGGAAACAATACCATCACTGATGAAGATGCTACCAAAACATCTTCTGCTGAATACCTGAACGTTACTGTTACCAGTGCAGCTATGCTTTCACAAGCAAATGGTATTTAGTTAATTTAATATGCTTCCTATGAACACAATTTAAGCAATATGTTGAAACTTTTCTTGGGTCAGATGAAAATACTGGGAAAGAAGTCCAGCATCTCAAGTACATTCCATTTTCGACATCCCCATCCGTGGGCGAACGCCTAGATCCAAATTCCCAGATGGAACTTGTTGGCCACTCGATTGTAAGAACGAACTGTCTATCTTTCTCTCTGAAATCAATGTATATGAGTAGGTGCCTAAGTTCTTCATTCGTCTGCAATGACTAATCAATATATTTCTTCCCTCGAAGAAATAGATATTTGGGAATTTAGACTTTGTTTTTCTCTTTACTGGATTTCAAAAGAACTTCAAGGATCTCCATTTGCAGGTTTTGACATCATATCCTTTTTCAGATGCACAATGTTGTCAAATGCTGACTTCATATGGACCACAAACAACGGTATGCTCTGATCTCTGGTACAGTTTCTTTTGCTAATTTATATGATCAGTTGCCTTGCACAGAAACGAAAGGCAACATACCAGGGTACTCATCTGTGTTTATTATGTATTGTTGAAATTTATTTGGTATGAACAGACGCTAAATGCGTACTTCTTAGGCCCATCATATATCCTTGTCATGTTTGTTTCTTGCAATTCTTATGATATTTTGTTTAACTCTGAGTTCTCCTGAACAAGAATGCAAATTAGTATAGGGGATCCTTTTGTATAGATCCTACTTGCTGATTGGCTGTTCAAGGATTATGATTATACTTGATTTCCCTGCAGTTACCTCATTTTTATGGACTTCACCATGCTAGGATGCCGTTACCCCTTGAAATGGAAGCAGAGCCTGTTTATGTGAACGCAAAGCAGTATCATGGTATCCTGAGGAGAAGACAGTCGCGTGCCAAAGCTGAGCTTGAGAAGAAAGTGATAAGAAGTAGAAAGGTATTGCAGCTAACTTGTTTCATTCAAGGACTAAGCGGACCAAAAATGAACACTTCAGTTATTGAAAGAAACTTTTGCTAGAAGTTGTCTTTCTGTTCGTATCGATATTACAATTGATCATAGTTGTATCCCATAATTTCGTTTTCTGGATACTCTTTTCCATTTTGTGCAGCCGTATCTTCATGAATCCAGACATCTCCATGCTATGAGACGAGCAAGAGGCAGCGGAGGACGTTTCCTGAATACCAAAAAGCCGAACAGTGTTATTTCCAATAAAACTATGGAGGAAGACATCAATTCTGGTATCAACCATGTATCAGAACCTGTCAGTGAGGGTGGATCAAATTACATGGTGGCTAATGAAAATGGAATGAAGGATACACTTGATGATCAACAAAAGGAGGACAAAGAGTTCATGCCTCAAAATATGCAGATAACACACGCTTTCTTCAATGGTGGAAAGTCGAATGGCCTTGGTTTATCCACATACAATTCAAAACTTGCTGATGAAAGCATGCAGGTGAATGCGGCTCCACAGAGGGCCATCCCCATCAAGTGAAAGTTTCTTGATGGGAATGGGGCTTCCTTCTCCAACGCTGTTTAACCAGTTTCACTGCAAAAAAACTCGAGATTCGGTAAGATCGTTGATTCTTTTAAGGCTGTGTTTCTGGTTGCACAAGTTGGTGGATTTACCCCCCTTCTCTGCTGGGAAGAACACCGCTTTTGGTGGTGTTTCTCAGGCAATTCATTCTTGGCTTTAGTTGAAGGAGGATTAAGAAATGCAGTGCACCAAAAATGTGGTACTTTCGCTCTGCTATTTCCTTTCTCTTTACCTTTTCTATTTCCTATGTAATTCTAATTCTGAATTGTGTCTCTGAAACACAAAGATTTGATGTGTGCAGACTTGTAATTTATTTTAGACGCAGTTATGTGCTGTGTATCTATTCAACTTTGTGTGCTTGTTTTCAGATGATATTCATTTTCAAGTGTGTGCGTACATTAAATTATACATAACAAGGAACATATAAAGTTAAAGACATTATTTATATAATCATAGTATTTGTTCATACCTGTAACAGCTCAAGCCTATCTTAAGCAAATATTGTCTTTTTTTAATTTTTCCTTCCGAGCTTCTCCTCAAAGTTTTAAAAAAACACTCTTCAACAGATGTGAGATCTCACAATCCATCCCCCTTGGGGGCCCAACATCCTCACTTGCACACCACACGGTGTCTGATTCGGATATTATTTGTGACATTTCAAGCCCACCACTAACAAATATTGTCTTCTTTAGGCTCTCTTAAAGTTCTAAAACATGGATGTGAGGAAAGGTTTCCACACCCTAATGTTTCGTTCCCCTCTCTAGAGGCTCTCTTAAAGTTCTAAAACATGGATGTGAGGAAAGGTTTCCACACCCTAATGTTTCGTTCCCCTCTCTAGAGGCTCTCTTAAAGTTCTAAAACATGGATGTGAGGAAAGGTTTCCACACCCTAATGTTTCGTTCCCCTCTCTAGAGGCTCTCTTAAAGTTCTAAAACATGGATGTGAGGAAAGGTTTCCACACCCTAATGTTTCGTTCCCCTCTCTAGAGGCTCTCTTAAAGTTCTAAAACATGGATGTGAGGAAAGGTTTCCACACCCTAATGTTTCGTTCCCCTCTCTAGAGGCTCTCTTAAAGTTCTAAAACATGGATGTGAGGAAAGGTTTCCACACCCTAATGTTTCGTTCCCCTCTCTAGAGGCTCTCTTAAAGTTCTAAAACATGGATGGAGGAAAGGTTTCCACACCCTAATGTTTCGTTCCCCTCTCCAATCGACATAGGATTCCATGCTAAAAAAAACAAAATAAATAATTTCCGTAAAATACCAGTCTCTTCAAAGCCCATAACTCATTTCACAGAAATTGCTTGTAATGGGCTCGTATGGCCCATATAATTGTTAGAATGGACCAAGCCCAAAAGAATTCAGCTTCCCAAGAATAAAACGTGTTAATTTTCTGATGTACGGAAAGGTGGATCATGGAAATCAATACCTTTTCGGTGTGTGTTTTTTTTTAAATTATAATAAAGGGCACTCACCCAATTTTTTTTTTAAACATTTTTTAAATCTTATATTCTACCAAGTTTTTTTAAAATTTTGAAAAAATGGCATGTCCAAATTCTTTTAAATTAATTAAAAATTCCAAAATTATCAAATTTTATCAATAAAAAATTTAGTACTAAAAAGAAATAAATATATCCATATAATATATATTTTTATTTTTAATAGAAGGAGCTTGATTTTGTATTGTTTTCCCAAGCTTTAACAAGAAAAGCAATTCATTGACTCTGACCTTTTTTTTGGTTAATTGCAGCTTTAATAAGATTATGACATCCTTTGCTTTGGGTGGTGGCCAATTGCGCATATTAAATCTGCAAAAGAAAGGAAAAAACATGATGAAGCAATATCTAAATGGATATAACTTTGCCTTCTCTCTCTCTCTCTCTCTCTCTCTAATGAGAAAAGGATGGATGGGATTAGAGAAGAATCTAAATATGGGTCCTCAGAACATGCTCTCAAGATCCCAATTTCATTAGGATGATGATAATTTAAGCATACATCAGACCCATCTTTAATTCTTTAATCAAGGCTTTTCTTATGATGAAAGAAAGCAACTCTTAGAACAAATAACAGTAAAAACTGTTATAATTCTCTGCACTTTTACCCCTTTAAAACCCAACAAATAGAGGGTTGGAATTCTTGAACCATCTAATATCCTTCTGCTCATTACAAAACTCATTCTGATGGAGACACAGATCAAGAGACTGCAAATTGAATATATCTAGAGTTAGAATCAAAAGAAAGGGGGAGAAAGAGACTTAACCATGTGATGCTGATGGCGTCAACATATGGGGCAGCAGATCAATCAGTAACCTGAAAAAATATTTGCAGTTGAATTCAAAAGAGAGAGAAAGAGAGAGACAACCACATGTTTTTGGTTGGCCTAGTAGTTTTCTCTCGATACTTTTAGCCATATTGAGTTCCATAATCATCTCTTTCTCTCTCACTGATCTTTTTCAATTGCTGCAAATGGTTGTAAAAGGTCAAGAACCACTGCAAGATAACAAGAAATTAGAAAGAAAGCTGCTGACAAGACAACAAGCCAAATATTATTGAGAGCTTTGGGATTGAAGAGTCAAATTAATGAACTATAAAACAAGAATATTAGTCTGTGTCAAATACATAGGGAAGATCGAAAGAGAATCTCCAACAAATATTGAAAGTTTTATCATAGACTCCATGTTGCTGCAAAACAAATTGATAAATCAAATAGTCTAACCTAGCAATGTTGCTAATGGTCCATCAGAAATTGCCACATTATTTATTTTCATAGGTCTTAACAACCATTCATAATATATTAATGTTCAGTAGGTCACCCGATGAACATTTATGAATATTAGGTGAAATGACATGGTGCAAAGAAGTGTGAACTCCCCTTTTAATCTTTAACATAATCAATTGATTCAAAATGTCAGTTCAACCAAGATATAGACAATAATAAATAGACAAAAAAAGGCTTAGACCTCTAATATATATATATATATATATATATATAAATATATATATCAATTGCATCATAAATGAATGATTCTCCCTTGACTTTAATCTCTATATATGATTATCATTGGTTTGATACTTTCCTTTGTGAAAATAAATGCAAAAGCTCTGACGATTCCACAGAGCTATATATAAAGCTAAGGTTAGAGAGTAGATGATTAAGTTGAGACCCATCATGTACTAAGAGAGGAAGGGATGCAGGACAACAAAATGATAAAAGCCAAGTGTTAGTCAGAGACAGATGAACAGAAAAGGAAAGAGAATGGGTTCAAGTTTATTGCCATGAATTCCACAAGAATTCAAAGAGTGGGTCGCGTCTTGTTGGTGTCGAGACTATAAAAGGATGAGAAGATAGAGATCTCGTTAAAGCAGACAAGAGATTTTGTCTGACAGAAAGAAATAGGTAACTCACAAAATCAAAGGTTGTTGTCTCCTAATTCCTCTCAACTCTGTGTGTGTGTGTGTGTGTGTGTGTGAAGAATGGAGGGAACAGATTTATCTTCGACAAGTGAACAGAAATTGGGAAGATTCAAAAGGGTGTGTGTGTTCTGTGGCAGCAAAGCTGGATACAAGTCTACATATGCTGAAGCCACCATTGAGCTTGGTAAAATACTGGTAATTTCTACATCAATCAATGAACTATACTGTAATTACAAGTATTTATTCTTATATTTTTTGCTCTTCTCGTTCTTCTTCAAGTTGTATGTAATGTTTTCCCACAAAAGTTGAAAGTCCAAATCTTTTCTTGGTTGTATCAGGTTCAGAGAAAAATAGACTTGGTTTATGGGGGAGGAAGTGTGGGCCTAATGGGTTTGATCTCTCAAACTGTGTTCTCTGGAGGCTGCCATGTACTTGGGTATGTTTTTATACGAATTTACATTTCTGTTTACCATGTTGCTAATTTTGTTGTTTCATTCATGATGTACAGAGTGATTCCCAAGGCACTTCAGATTCATGAGGTACCTTTTCTGCAAGTTTCCTTCCTTGGTCTTTTGGAATGTAAGCTGTTTTCTTTTTCTTTGTTAAATTAATGAAACCCCACTTGTAGATATCAGGAGAGACTGCCGGAGAAGTGAAGACAGTAGCAGATATGCACCAAAGGAAGTCAGAAATGGCAAAACATGCTGATGCATTTGTAGCTCTTCCAGGTTATTATAACAAATATAGATTGTGTGTGTATTTGTCATGAAAATGGTTTGTTTCATTTACTTAACTGGCAGAAACTCAAAATCCGTTGAACTAGGTGGCTATGGAACCATGGAAGAATTGCTAGAGATGATAACTTGGGCTCAGCTAGGAATTCATGACAAGCCAGTAAGATATGGATTTTTATTGACAACTTTCTGGAAAAAAGAGTAAAGAATACGACAAAGATGGTTTTTCAGATCTTCATTCTTTACTTCCTTGGTTCATTCACAATTCCAACAGTGTTCTTGAGAACAACTAATAACAAAAAAACAAGAAACAGAGATGTGATTGGAGTGGTTTATTGTTATCTTGCCCTTTTATTGGTTTTGAAAAATGTGTTATCAGGTAGGATTGCTAAATGTAGATGGGTACTACGACAGCTTGCTTGCCTTATTCGACAAAGGAGTAGAGGAAGGTTTCATAGACAATGCAGCCAGGAAAATAGTGGTAATAGCAAACACAGCAGAGGAACTAATACAGACAATGGAGGTAGGAAGGGGAGAAGGTGCTCTATTAGAAGTTGCTGAATTATTGGTGGGAAACAGATTTTTGTCCTAAAAGGCACGAAAAGAAAGGATTACTCATTGTATTTTGGCTATGTTTTGCAGGAGTATGTGGCTGTCCATGACAAGGTTGCACCCAGACAAAGATGGGAAGTGGACCAATTATCAGAGTCTACTCAAAGTGGGCAATCCATGAGATCTTAGATCTCAATCACCATCGAGCATGCCATTTCTATAAATATCTGCGGTTGTGTGCTCAAATTTGATCAAGGAGATTACCAAAAGATAGACCAGATCTCTCTATCTCTCTCTCAAGATCCTCAATCTTGATCAATTATTTGTAAATCCTTAAAGATGACCTGTATTAAATTCCACTAAGAATCGATGGAATAGTAAGATTTTTCTCTCTCATCAGGCCATTGACTAACTTAAAATAGGCAAGGGAAAACAAGCCATACATGGTTAATGGTACAAAATAGGTGTCCAAAAGGCAATGAAAGAGAAGAAGACATTTTGGAGGGTAGGGATGCAAGGAGAAGAGACCCTCCAACTTGACCATTGTACCAATGGTGCAGCAAAGTTCATTATTACATTGTGATGTGTGGATAGCAGTATTTTGGATTTTGGGTCTTTATTCACTGAGCTGGGACCCTCCCTGCAGAGTGACCCATTTGTTTCCTAGTGGCTTCTTTTCTGTTCTCTTCTCTTCTCTTCTCTTCTCCTCAATTTCTTTCCATTAATATTTTTATCAGAAAATCTTTTCCTTCTCGTTAGTGCTGTCAAAAACACATTATGTTCCAGAATTTATTATAAATGCAGGCTGAAGAATGTAATGAGAGTTTGTTCACTATCAGTTCTTGAAGGAAATTTCTAAACCCAACCTCCCACGCAATAATTATCTCTGCTTTTCGTATTAAATGTTTTAGAATTGATTAACTCCTTTGTAACAATTACAAAGGAGAAAGAGAGAGAATATTCCTATAGTGGGCAAGAATACTTTGACAAGGCCTTGGCTAGGTACGACCACAGGAAGGAAAGCTAGTTTACTAGAGAAAATTACTCATCTCATAAGCAATTTGATCTGAATAATTGTACTCTTAACAATCAGATTTTTCGATTACAGCATACAAATACTATACTGAAAAAGATATATAAAACAATTAAAATTACTTGGATGTTACAAAATCGATAGGATACATATCTTATATCCACCAGCTGTTGTCAACCGCTGAAGAAGTCTCCACATCTTCGATAACGCTGCTTGTTCAAAATGAAACATTGAGCCGAGTTGACAAAACAAATGATCAAAAGTCAAAACCATGTGGTCTTAATTCTTCAATATTAATTCACTTGAGTTCTAAGTGAAGGATCCAAAATCCAATCCCTAGCATGACATTGTTAAAGATGACTTACATTGATAGGATTCAATTCTATTATCCTATTATGTCATATAACTAATGGGTGTGATGACTTAACATTTAGACTAAATACAGATCCATACTTGTACAACTATCAAACCTCATAGCGCACAACTAGTTTCCTACCACTATACATCCATGTAATATTCTAAAAGTAGGAAGAGAAACAAATACTGAAAGATTTGTATTAGAGAGCGTCATTAGAAGCATTTCCGATGAACGATTGAAGGCCCATTTTCATCATAGTCTGCCTTAGTTATATGCTGATTTTGGGGGAAGACAACCTTGGCAAGTATAGCGCCTCCAATCCATGCTGAATACAAGGATAAATTCTCTGGCATGTATTCTGGAGCCTACAAAAAGAAAAGGATATTATCCCCTCATCAATCCAAGCAAACATGTCGAGTTCCTTACAGCAAAGACAACAAACAAAAATTCAGATTGTTGAGTGAAACAATCTCAAAATCAGTTCCTTATGTTTTGTAAGGATTATATTACCTTCACAAGAGCAGGACGAACAGCAGATGAACAGAGACCTGCTTCTTTCTGAAATCTTTCTTCAAAGCCTGCAAATGTAACAAATTACCAACTGTATAATGATATACAGAAATAGCTTTCTTCAAGAATCAAAAAAATCAAACACATAGCATGAACAGAGTTGCGTGCCCTTTCAAAGTAATGGTAAATTGTAAACATAATAAAAATATCAGCAGCTCAAGGGGGGAAAAAAAAATCTACATCCTCAATTTCATTAGCTTCATTCAGTTGTTTTTTTTTTTTTTTTTTAATGCTAATGCACATCATCACTGCTCCATTTCAGAAAGTATTAGCAGGTACACCATGGCATCTACAGATCAACTGTCATCAAGCGTAGTTTTGACACCACCCATCAGTAGGTGGTATGCCAATCAGTTCCCAATGTTGGCATAGAAAGCTCTACACTTAAAAAGCCTCTTGAAAAGGAAGGGCCAATTAGCTTCGAAGTATACTAATCAAAAGTCCTGAATATAGTTTTTATTTAATATTTAAGAGGCCTGAAGAAGTAAAAATGACCCCCTAGAAAAGGGAGACAAAACCAATGGCAACCATTACCGGTCATTGAAGAAGTGCCTCCACATATAACAGTATTTTCCAGTAGTTGTCGGTGGTTATCAGATGAAACGGTTGAAATAGTCCGAACAAGCTGCTCGACAATTCCATGTGAGTCCAAACCCAAAATTTGTGGTTGGAATAATGCCTCACCAACAGTATATCTCTCTTTTCCAATTGTTATTACCTAAAATCAATGACCAAACATTATACAGAGGGCCAACTTATAGATATTATAGTTTGAATATGATACAATGTCACTACCACACGTTACACTCATGGCAAAAGGAAGCACTCACATATGGAACCCATTAGTTGCATTTTTCTTTATGCAGTTCTTTTTTTCCATATGGTAAAGAGGAGTCCTCCACCTTCATTTCTATTTTTAGTTATTTCTTTTGTTTTAGGGGATGAACCTCCATGATCGAGTCACGATTCCATTGATGTAGCAATGGTTTAGTTATTCCCTTGTTTTAGGGGATGATCCTCCATAATTGAGTCATGATTCCATTGATGTAGCAATGGTTTAGTTATTCCCTTGTTTTAGGGGATGATCCTCCATAATTGAGTCATGATTCCATTGATGTAGCAATGGTTAAGGACTCGACTTTCATTTCTATTTTTAGTTTCCTTTGTTTTAGGAGGACGATCTTCCGTGGTTGAGTCATGGTTCCATTAATGTAGCAATGGTTATTATACAACTTGTATAAATAGTCATAAACATCAATGAAGATGGTACTGAAGATTTTCAATTTAGTCTTGAGTACTTTAACTAAGAGGTACTCAAAACTAAATTGAAAATTTAAGTACCTCTTCATTAATGTTTATAATTATTCATACCAGTTGTATAATAACCATTGCTACATCAATGGAACCATAACTCAATCATGGAGAATATGGAGAATTGTCCTCCTACAACGAAGGAAATAACTAAAAATAAAAATGAAAGTGGGATCCTTAGGACCATTGTAACTTCAATGGAGCCATGACCCGACCATGGAGGATCATCCTGATCCTCCTAAAACAGGGGAAATAACTAAAAATAGAAATGAAAGTGGAAGACACTTTACAATATGGAAACTGAAAAGAAACTGCATAAAGAAAAATTCAACTAACGGGTTCCTGCCATGGGTGTAATGTGTATACATTTGTAGTGGCATTGTATCAGAATATTTAATCCAGTTGAGGAAAGTTTGCAATGCAACTAATAGAGGAAACTAGAAGTCTAGAAAGCAATTCCAAAGACATGAGAATAAACTACATGTCAGATAAAGGTTTGGACTATTCAGTGGAGTTTAAAACCAGACAACAGGTGGGCAAGATCATGAAAGCAACAGGTTTAAGCAGTTGATTAAGTGTTTCAGAATCATCTATGTACTTATTTCAAATGTCTGGTTACTATAAAATCCAAACATTCTTCATCTATATTTTTTAAAAAAAAGCAATAAGGACCCAACTTCCTTCTCTCGAGTTCAAAGGTTCAAATCCGCACTCCTACATTTTTTCATTAAAAAAAGGCCAAGCACTTTGAAAGCTTCCACCAAAGAAGTATTCATAGGCCTTCAAGCAAGGCATGAGTAGTGACAGTAAAAGGTAATGCGGCAAAATATAAATTTAGTTAGGTTAATGTGTTCATGTTCAACACCAAATCGAACACTTGTTTGACACATATTAGGCATATGTTAGCACAATAAAAATGTGTTTGACACTAGTTGTACAAAATGAATATGAGTCCAACATTAGTTGAGTATCAAACACTTGTTCAATGTACTAAATATAAACCATATATATTGAGAATGAAATATGTCAAACTCGTTTTTTAAGCATATAAATGCATAAACTAATTAAATTTGAATTTCCTTCAAATGATTAGATTTTTTAAAAAAATGTGTGTGTTCTTGTCGTATTTGTGTTCTATTTTTTAAATGACATGTCATTGTGTTCCTATCATGTCACATCTATGTCTCGTTTCCATATTTGTGCTTCTTAGGTAGCAATCAGAGTGATTAAAGCAACAGTAGGAGCGAAAAGAAAGAAAATGACTCAAAATGCATGTGGTATGACCCGATTCTTCTATAAATTTTTGCTAGAGTCACTTGCCTCATGTTCCTAATTCTTATTCAAGCAGTGAGCCATATTTAATTATTAGGTCTACCTTATTAGAAATCACATGGTACTTGTGAGTTTCAATTTGATGACTTGAGATTGGAACCGTGCCATGTAAATCTGAAATATTCAGGTTAAAATGGGCTTAACGCTATAATTACCATAATCCATAAATGTAACTTTTATGGCCTAGATTAAAACAGAAATATCACTGTTTGCATAGATTAGTCTGAGCAACTCTCTAGGTATTCCACTATCATGGCCTGATAAGCAAAGGGCTAATTAGAAATTTTACTTCATTTGTCTTCACAAGAAGTTGTGAAATGCAACACAGCTCAGCATACACACGCCCAATAAGACTAAGCCTGCATAGAATTTTTTGAAGAGTTTTTCTTTATAGGATGTTGGGACTTGCAACACAGCTCAGCATGCACATATTGATATTCAGTTGTAACATACTGCCCCCTCTTTTGCTTTCCAATAGTCATAAAAGGCCACGATTCATCAGTCATGAAAATTCTAAACCAACTACATCTTCCAACTCTCTTGGATACCAACTTTCCTACCCAAACTAAAATCAGCTCAACAACCAGATACTGTAAGCACATGCATAAACACATACTTGGGTCAAGTAAAACGACAATAGTTAAGAAAGAAATAAATTCAAAAGCAAACCTGCCCATCTGGAAGGGTGTGTGTCTCAAGCTGGCATGAACCACCAATTTTTGAATAAGCCAACTCATCTTCAGCACAACAAGCATACAATTCTTTTATTTTCTCAACATCAGCTGTGTAGATAT